GCTATTTCAGAGTGGCAACAAAACATCAATGTTCTGTTCATTCTTTTATTTTAATGTAGTACACTGAATCAACCCTATCCCATAGCATACTGATACCTGTACGTCAAAAATGTGATGTCGCTGACGGAACTGAATTTCTGGTGATTTGGTCTTTAATATGAAGGCATAGGAGCCAAGAATGTACATTTTTTGTCGGAAAATAGCAAAAAGTCCCATTTCACACAATTCTAGGTGGTGTATGACAAACATAATGAGGATTTGTGGGCATGTGTCCAAGGCCCTCCCATACCAAATTTCCAGGTTATTTGGTTTAAATATTAGGGCACAGGAGCCAAAAATGTACATTCAAAAAATAGCCCAAAAGCCTTATTTTACACAATTCAAATGTGGTGTAGGACCGTAGGTCAAAAGCTTTAATGAGGTTCTGTAGACATGTGTCCAAGGTATCTCCATACCAAATTTCAGGTAATTTGGTTTTAGTACCAGGGCTCCAGATCCCAAAATGTATATTTTGCCTTAAAATGCCCCCCCCCCCAAAAAAAAAAACATGCCAGAGTCGAATCATTGATGAAATGGCAGGAGGAGGAGAAACATCAATCAACATGAGAGAAACCAATACGTTTCATCCATACCTATGGTATAGACTAAAATATAACAAAAGACAGGAAGACTTGTTTCTAAACAACCACAAATTGGTACTTCTGTAAGCCACAAAATTTCCTAAAGACTTGTCCTAAACACTGGCTTCCTACCCAGAATTTTGATGAACCATACACTGAGTCAAACACTGTGAGAATACAAATACAAGTGTGTGCCTGGGGCAAGGATCAGCCAACTTTATCCCACAACCACTTCCCTTCCGCTGACCCTGTAAATACAGGTGTCAGGATCTAAACAAAGCACGCACGTGACACAGGTCACCCAGATGTGACCTCTTCACACCTCAACCAACATACCAAAACATCCGCTTACAGTATATTCAGGATTTTTTTCACTGTACTATTATGTTCACTGTTTTCACTGTCACTTCTATACCGTGAACTTATCATTACAGTTAACAAGTAATTCCTGGACTTTCTTTTTCCTGCACCTGTGGCAACTGTGAATATATAGTTCCGTGAACATGTCCATTTTTCTCAGACCGTGAATTTTTCCTACCGTGAACATAAAGTGAATTACAGTATTCAGGGGTCGAAATAACCCTCTGTGTGCAACTTGGTGCAAGTAAATTTGGTGTCGTGCAACTAATTTTTTGCCTGCTTGCACCATGGTGCAAGTTTGCTTTATCCACTGTTACTACCTGTAGAATTACCCAATAATATTAATTAATAAAGAACTGGAGTGGAAAGGAACAAAACCAGAATCCATGAAGTTTTTCTTCATTTTTTGTAAGTAACAGAAGGTTACTATCTACGTCGCTGCCAGCGGATGTTTCCCATCACTTCTGTATTTTTGGAGGGTGCAACTATTTTTCTTCCAGTGCAAGTATTTTTCTTTTCATTTGCACCAGTGCAAGTTGGCCCCAAAATCTATTTCGACCCCTGGTATTCAACTGACAGGAAAATGCAGAACAACACTGAGGTGAAAAAGATAAAGATCCTTTTTTTAAACACTGTCTCCATCCATGAAACCGTCATGAGATTGTTGCAACTTTTTGTCATCAGCAGTGGATATAAGGAAGTATGTAACAGTCACAGACTTTCAAAAAAATGTATTTGATCCAAACATGTTGTGGATACGACCGTTAACGTAAGCTAAAGTATACGTTTGAATTATGCCAGCCTCTATGTGAACTGTAGCCTGGATGCCAGACTATTTCGGCACAGGCCAGCTCTAAGGCTCCTGAACGAAAACTTCAAAACGGAAAATGCCCCCAAGTGCACAAGAACAGTTTACTACAAATTTTTATACTAAATTGTAAAAAAAAAAAAAGTACACTGGACATATTGCACCTTTTTCTTAGTCCTAGACACCATGAATTGCTATATATATTCAGTACGATTGAAATTCATGTCTTGCTAACTTGGGCAGTTAGGAGACTGGTGCAACTAGGCTCAAACAATGGTCTGTGAGAACTACTTCTACATGTGCCGAGGTATTGGGAACTGAAAAACAACAAAACCAAAGTCAAGATAAAAAGTGGGCATATGGCCTTGTGTTCCCACTACTAAAGGGGGGTCCACTTTTGCCTTTTGACAAAGGAAATATTCTGTATGCTGGCCACAAGCGGCACACGCGACCCCATGTGACCCTTCAGTGGCACACATGACCCACCCTGACCCCATGTGAAAAGGAGGTCAAAGTGGTGTGAACCCCTGGCCCCTGTTTGGTCATCCCTATTGTTATGGCCATCAACTCTTCTCAACAATGCCATCTATACCCCGTAACAGGCCAAGATCTGGTAGGAAAAACACTCTACAAGTTCTGAATAAAATTTTTTTTAAAGTAAGAAAGGTTAACTCGTTGCAAATGATTTCAGATACAATAACTTGGGAAAAATAATAAATCAAATCTTGTTTTGGTGGGTAGTTCTGCAAAATACTGAAAGATTATGTGACTATGCTTTGCTTCAGGTAGGCTAACTTTCATTACATTTCTTACTTGTAAGGATACTAAAAGGCTATATAATACTTCAGTACATTGTTGTGATAGACATTTTGTCACACTACATTCTACTGTATATACTCACTGTACGTCACATCTATTGTGCAACATGATTTTTCCTTCTATGAATTTTTCATATGAAATATACTCTTTCAAAGAAGATGTAAGCATTGACTGAGATATCGTAACACACTATCAACACATCAAAGATGAGATCAAATGTAATATCTTTTATCAAAAATTAATGCTGAATACTAGTATTTGAAGCTCAAGGCATAGCATTTTATTTGCATTTCAAAATATCTGCCTTGCATCTTTACTCTTTATTGCATCTACGCATACCTGTTCATAAAACAATGTCAGAAAACATGCATATTGCCCTACAGCCATGTACATGTACACATACGCTAAAATATACATATTACTGTGATTCATTGGTTTTCCTATGACTCACAGCAGTTTTTCTAAACAGGGGAATAACAATAAGGGCCTGCTCCCTCCAGCCAGCTCCCTCATAATAATCAATTTTCAGATTGATTCCTAATTGGCTACTTACACTGTTATACATGATTTAGTCTTTCTCAAAATGACCTTTTTCTAGTACTAAAGATGTAAAAACAATACAGCAATGCATTCTAACATTACAAACATTACTCTCATAAAAAAACACTTGGTTGCTTCGCTCCCTCTCCATGCTTGCGATCTGCTCCCTCATGCTAAATTTTTTCTAGAAAAAAAACTGACTTACTAGTATCATATCTATTACACACATGTACTAAGATTCCAACACAGGACTTCAGCAGTGGGAAGCTATGATTTAAAAGAAAATCAAGACCTCTAAATTTCTATATCATCAAAAACAAAGAATGTAGTACTGCATCTTAATCATACCAATAGCAATATAATACTTCATCCAATATTGCAACAAGGACATGATAGAGCTACTCATACGTTTTATAGCTACAGTACACTGACTAAGGCCACACCAATTCAATTTCTTGGTCAACGGACTTGCCCGCTTCATTTTTTTCTGATTTGCAAAAAAAAAAATTCAGAATCAACTGCAAAATGCTCATATTTTACCCCGAACAGTTGAAAACAGTCCTTTTCTTCCTAGTTGTTACAGTTATTCCATCTTTCAATGCAGTGGTTTCATTATTATAAGTTCAAAATTCATTGTTTAAATTTTGAACCAGCCTGGTGTGTTGACTTGATGGCTCCTATCTACCATATTTTTTGGCCATAATAGGATGCCTAGGCCTGTTTTTTTTTTTCACCCGTCCGCTCCATTATTTTCATAGAAAAATCCGTTAACCAAGAAATTAAATTGGTGTGGCCTAATCCCTGAAAAACAAATTACTGGACTCAAACATTTGCATTACTATCACTGTATCAGCATCACAAAGCGGTACTAGTATCAGATTATTTTCTGGTGTGTGCATTTCTAGGATACCTGGTAACCTAATTTACACATAACACACCGTGTGTGTTTTCAAGCAGTATAAACACAAGGAAAATTTAATAGGAGGCCCCACACTAACGAACAATCAATAAATGGATTCTCGGCTCAAATTTTGTGGTAAAAAAAATCGAGGTTTCGACTCGCCTGAGCTACCACGATTGGGCATCGGTAAATGTCTTTGATAACGATTAGAATAATTAGACTTGGCGGATATATGCAAAATTTGAGCTGATATGGATGATAAAAAATATTGCATGAAACCCAGCCATGTGTGAATGTCAAAATAATTTTAACAATCACGGCGTTGTTTGTGAATAAATATTTGATAAAATCTCATGCATACTGAATTCGCGATGAGGTGAGAATTAATACCAACACAATTAACTACCACGTGGCCACTTTTCACTGTTTTTAAGTCCTAATTTTCATCCAATTCCTCCACATGTAGAAAACAGATCCCGGGCCAAAATATCTCCACGTACGAACGGTTTTAATCCATTCTGGATTATCGCATAATCCTAGATCAAACGGACCGCCCGAGATGCACAAAATCCGAGGCGTGATTTTGACAGTTAAAAACAACCGCACAAAAATGGACTAAAACAGACTACTGGAACATCAATCTGCTACAAGCTTACGGAGGTACATCGCAGCGGTAGTTAGTAAGAATTACAGCGTTAAAAGAAGACTCGATCTTTGAAATTCAGAGACCTCGAGACCGATTCATACTCACATTTTGGATTCGCGGGTACCCTCCCTCTGCCGCCATGTTGGCCGTGACGTCACGGGTAAACAAAATTCATATCACAATTTTTTTAACCAAACAATTTTTATTTAGATATGCAAACATTCTCTCGATTCAACCAACTGATTAGATGCATTAAGTAGCGTTTTATATATATTTCCGTGCTTGATATTATTTTTATTACAGATTTTGATGCGCCCATGATGCTTCGCGCGTCCTTGGGTCAGCCCAACAAGACAAGATGGCGGCGTCAGGAGGAAAACCACCGATGGACTCTTGGCGGATCTTTCCCGATGTTACTCCGGAGCAAATGAGGGCCGAGGCCGAGCGACAGGCCATCAGGGGGAAGCTCAGAGCCGCCATGCAGGAGAAGCTAAGGGATCCGTACGCCGTGGGCAACTTCGTAAGTAGATTTCGAACGTTGAAATCAACGTCTCTGCGACCTGTTTACAAAATTATTATGTTTTTTGCTGAAGAACAAAAAACCAAGGACACACAGACTTGTACATAAAGTTTGGTACTAGCAAGAACATTATATAATCCCTATGTAATGTCCTGAGTACAAGTATATCCTCTAATGAGTAAATTTCAATATCAGACAGATTTTCTTGCCTTTGTTTTGCCACCCAGAAATTGCATTAGAATGTCGATGATGATGATGGTAAAAATTACTAAAATTGCATTGGATGTTGTATTTGTCCTGTAGGAAGACCCTGCTCTGACACGCTGGTACTACGTCAGGAATCATCAGTTTGACAACTTTAAGCAGACCCCCAAGACGTCATTCCTTGGCATAGTGTTTGGAATCGCTCCAATTGCAGTGCTTACATGGCTATTCTGGACTGATAGGGTAAGGCTCTTGACAGTTTAAAGTATAACTATCAGTCTGTGTGTGTGTGTTGTGGAAAATTCAGGGCTCCAAATACCACCTGCATATGCAGGTTAGTGCAGGTAAAATTGAAGCTGTGCAGGTATTTCTGATGTCTACCTGTACCTAACCTGCACTGGTCCATGTACTGGGTATACTAGTAGTATGCAGGTTAGTGCGGGTAAAATTGGAGTTGCGCAGGTATTTCTGATGTCTACCTGTACCTAACCTGCACTGGTCCATGTACTGGGTATATGCAGGTTAGTGCAGGTAAAATTGGAGCTGTGCAGGTATTTCTGATGTCTACCTGCACCTAACCTGCACTGGTCCATGTACTGGTTTATATGCAATTGTAGGTGTATGTGGATTATTATTTGCTGCATTGACTGTTACCACCTAGTATGAAGTGTAACGAAATAATAGCAATGGTTTCTGAACAGTTTTAGTATGACCCCTACTTCCTAAATTCTGAGAGGTGCAGGTAAAATTTTTCTGGTGCAGGTAATTTTCAATGATAAAGGTATCATTCCAGATATGCAGAAAAAAGGATTTTGAGCCCTATCATATTACATGTGCCTTCCTCATTCTCTTAACAATTGTTGATGACATACAATAAACAGCAACATGTTGATACTGGCTAATACTAATATGTGCATCTTTTTTATATTTCAGCGCAAAATGAAGGAAGATTGGAGGAAGGGCATTGGAAGAAATAAAGCATCTATTATAAACTTCTAACCCCCGTCTTCAATGCTATGGCAGGGCTTTTCAACAAGATTATATAGATGAATATGTCACATTGAGAAGCTTCCTCATTACGCACCACCATAATGAACAATAGAACATCTATTAGAAAAAGCCTGATGATGTGTTTTTGCGGAGTTGTAATATGGACAGTGTGAAGATTTGTTCTAAACATCTGGGAATAATTTTCACCATGTAAAACAGACAGTCTGATTTAGTTCCATGTTATGTGTGTCAGAAATAAAGTGTCAGTTGACATGGACTTGTGATTTGCTTGTCTTCTGTATTTTTGAATGGATTTGTTAGCTTATAAATTATAAGGGTACTTGTTATCAAAAGACAAATCATTGGACTTCTTCATATTCTTAAAGGTGTGAAAACCCCAATATGGACTTCTGTAGATCTAGGTTAGTTTGGCCATTGAAACAAAGCCTCTTTAAAGTATTTTTAAAAATTACTAGTAACACATTTCAATCGCAAAAAATCTTCTGCATCAGAAAGTCACAAGAAAGAAAATGGAGCTTTTCAGCTCAAACTCAACAGTAAACAAACCCTACCTAGGTAGACACAATGGTGATGATCATGACGTAAATTTTCAACAGAAGAAGGATTTTACCTAGCTAGGGACTAGAATTGTGTTCCTATTTTGGGGCCTTCACTGTGCAATTTTAATGGTGTCATAACGTGGGTTATCCTCACTCAGTCAGACTCCTACTGAGTCCTACATCAAACACTCCTAAGTTTAGTAAGTATTAGTATTTACTGCATCCACTGTTACCATGTCAGAATAGGCCAGATCACATGTCACGTGTAGAAGAGGCCTCTAGCAGATCCATTGTGAACTGTATGTGCATCTGGCTGTACGTCTTTGTTTCTGATATGGTGGCTACAGTAACAAGTGACACCTGCTAAACAGTTGGTGATCAAGTTGCTCTTATAACATCAAGCATGTTCTTTTAGTGCCTCTCAGCTACAGAAAGAAATTGTAGAAACAAAATCAGGGAGAGGGGGGTTGTTTTGTACCGTTCCATCTAAACCTAAAAGAAATGGGAGTTTGTTCAAATCTTCTTCAACACTTATCGATATCTAAAAGTTAGCAAGTCAACGCAGAAGTGTAAAATTGTAAGGTTTTTAAATACTCGCACCACTATAACCTCCTAGCTCCCTTGTTCACACCAAGAATAGAATTAGCCTCCTGTGCAGGCCTCTGGGCGGGTGGGAGTTTTGATACTGCGTTTTGTAGAATTTTTAACGCGTTCTATTGCCGGCCATCATACAACCAGCCGCCCAGAGAAGGTTTGTACCCGCCAAGCTTAAGGCGACTGGTTGTAGGATGGCCGGCAAAAGAACGCGTTAAAAAATCTGCAAAACGCAGTATCAAAACTCCCACTCACCCGGAGGCCTGCACAGGAGGCTAGAATTAAATCAAGAACTGGATTACGTCCTTGCTTAGCTTAACCGCGAAAGTAAAGGGAAAAAATCAAGAGCGGAAAAGATCAATGACTAATGTACTCAAAATATTATTGAACTTGGCTGCGTGTATACACTAGGAAGAATGAGAGCAATGTGCGGCAAAATAAAGGGTTGTAGTAACAGTGGCGACCATCCGTGCGTGCAGGCGAAGTGGGTTGGAGTACCCTAGGTCCCGCCCTACAACAACCCAGCATCCTAGAACCGAACAGGATTTCATTTCAGTTTGTGCCGACTACCTGCTAGGCCGTGTTGTGTTTTTACCGCGCTGTGTGCTTACACAACGGTTCAGCAGGATGAAGATAATTTCGTCTGCAAACATTTGGTTGATATTCGTGACTGTTCACTTCGTGCAGTGCATCTACATACCACCAGAAGGTAAGATTTCAGTCACACGGAGTTCTAGACCTAGTTTCAGTGTCAGTTTTAATCGTTTTTTAAACATTTTTAATGTCTTGGGGTGGTGGGACTACGGCGCACTGATATGTCAACTTTGTATATTTAAATGTTAATTGTATTTTGTTGTGTGGCGCTGTTAATATAAGTTATAAACTTGAGTGCAGCGCCACACTGTCCTTGTTATGTTTTCGATGTTTTGATGAATTAAAAAAAGTTTTAATAGTGGCGTTCATTTTGTACTACTAGAAACTTATTTTCCAGATATAGAATTAGAATGAAGACCTTTAGTGTACATTTTTGCCCCACTGGTTCTAAATACAGGTCTCATGTTGACAAACTTATACATAAACGTTTATAAATATAAATATAAACTTCTAGTATACTCTAGTTCATTCAACTTCCTCTCACTTCTTAGTAATAGTGGAATGTATAGTGGCTGTATGAAAAGTTAGAGTTGGTTTGTCGAAGGCTATAAGGAATATAAATTTGTCTGTACTGTTCAAATATTTGAAGATGACTGAAAAGAATTATTCTATCGCTATCATAAGGTAAATGAGGGCAATCTATGGTAAAACTAACTTCGTCTTCTACTTCGAATTCTATGTACTAGTATATGAATGAGAAAATAGTCTTTGCATTGTCTTGTCTCTTAATACGACTCAGTGATCCACCCTTCCACTGTTTCTCTAACAGTGGAAGGGCCTAGGTGAAATTTTCAAAAGAGAAGCCGACTTTCGGAAGTTATTGTACTGTAGGGTAAGCTAAGAAAAATATGTAAATGTAATTAATATGCGTACATTACACCCAGTGGTAGTATATGAAACCTGAGCAAAAATCAATTACATTGTACTCGGATTAAATGTCAAATTCAATATCAGGAAAGTCACTGTAGCCAAAACCTGGCGGTGTGACCCGTAATACTTTGATAAACAATTCTCAAATAAGGTTTACCGAATAAATACTGTTGGGATATTTTACCTGAGTTCTAGTACACCTGAACATGATACATGTACAACATTTTGCTGAGTTCTAGTACGCCTGAATATGATGCATGTACAACATTTTGTTTATAAATCAAAGCTACCATAACAGTTTAACTTTTTACAAACGAATGTTTCAACTACAATGTAGTATCACTTTTTGACGGGGGAAGTCTTTTTAATGCGTGGAACGGGGCGTTTTCATATACAAATAGAAGTGGCCAACTATGTGATAAAAACGTTCTCTTGTCAGATCCACTAGTTTTCCCCACTGAATGATTACCGAAGGAAAACATTGTTTTTGCTCTGTTTCCTCTTCTTCTTCTTCTCCAAACCAATAAGGTCAATGACCTGAACCAGACGTTGGTAACTAGTGTTGGGTTACATCATGTTGCATTTTATAGCAAAAGGGATTTAGGCTCCTGTCTGATCATATATATGAATGTGTATGAGTAAGAATTAACAGAGCAGACCATATGCGAAGGTAAACATTATGCATTTGCTTTAAATGTTACCTTTCTAGTTATCTTGCGTTTCCTACTTTTTTTGTGACACGCAGAGAAAAAATTGAATTGCAAAGAACGACAAAAAGCCGGCTCCGACCCGTTCATCCTACACTGCGCGGATGACGGTTCGTTCAAGCCGCTTCAGTGTGACGACTCCACGAACCTGTGCTACTGTGTACACCCTGAGCGGGGCACGGTGTACTACGAGACGGCCGTCGACTTCACCGCCGAACGGGCCCAGGGACAGGACTGTGACAAGTACTGGCAAAAACAGGGTGTGTGCAAATGATTTTCATGTGCTTTAAATTTAGATCTTGAATGTTCATCTATGTTGGTATAGAAGTAAGGCCATGTTGATTTGATTATATGGATGACATCCGCGCGCGCATGAATTTTCGTCCGTTTCCAAAAAAAAAAGTTTCCGACCATACTGGAAATCGTACAAAGTAGCTGCAAAATGAGCAAATATATGTCGTATTGAAAAAAATATTGGAAATATTGGAAAACGATACTTATGTCGCAGAATGGCAAAATCCTTTCCAAAGGACAAGAAGAAAATATGAAGGAATGAAAATGAAGAGTCTATTATTCACCATGCCAATAAGATATTACTCTGTGTTTAGTCATTCGTTCAACCTTCATGACCACCTAGATTTCATAATGAAGGCTACTGTTTTTTTGCCAAACTTTTTTTTATTCGCACGCTCGCATATTAGGAGGTCAGAGGTCGTCTCTTGTCGCCTTTTGTTTAATGTTCATGTCTCCAATTTTTTTTGTCTTTTCAAAGATGCCCAAAATGACGCAGTCGTCCCGATGATTCTAAAGTTACCTGTGGACCAACCAATTGACATCACAGCTCTCTCAAACGACTTCGAAGAGAACGCCGAAGACAAGAAGACCGGCGTTGTCCAAATAACAAGTGCCAACCTTCCACAAAACTTCGATGAGCAAGGTGACTTCACTGCCACGAAGGAAGTGACTAAAACCGACGCTGACGTCACTCACCTCAGTCAACCAATCGCAGTGCCTGTACCATACAAGTTAGAAGATGACGCCACTGCGACGAAAGAAGTGACTAAAACCGACGCTGACGTCACTCACCTCAGTCCACCAATCGCAGTTCCCGTACTATACAAGTTAGACGATGATGACCGTGAGAAGAACCAAACTGAGCTTGCCGGTCGTCCAATCCCAGTGCTGTACGACAAAGTCCCAACTGACGTTCACATTGACGCCGACAATCACACGAATACTCCCGACGTAGAGCCGACAGAAGATATCCCACCTGTTGTCGCCTTGTCGTGCAACAAAACTATCACAAACTGTAGTCAGGATGTCTTCAATGCCACAAGCAACCCCATAGAAACGACAGGAGAATACAATGGGTACAACACTAAAGCTCCCTCGGCTATCCAACAGTCACACGTGGCTAAGTTACTGACGATCCCTGAGAAAAGCTACCTGTTCGACCTGCGGGTCACCAGTATGAAGTGGACGCCCTCTCTGAAGAACACCAGCTCGGAGGAGTACGTTTCTATGGAGAAACGTTGTCATGACATGGTGAGTACACCGCAATGTTACGTATGTTTGAAGTTAAAACTTATGTTCCAACGCAAAGGTAAATGTTCTCACCAAGTCTCACTGGGTCGTCTACTGAGGAAGACCAGAGTGACTGGTCGAAAGCTCTCGGTGAGAACATTTACCTTTGTGTAGGAACGAAAGTTTCAACTTAAATATGGTTTGCATTCTGAGAATAGGTATTAAAATGTCACATTACCGAAACCACACGGATGCTTCATATGTAAATACATTTTATTTCTCTTATCTAAACATTTCTTCTTTCTAGATGCTGCCTCTATTCGAAGAACTGCCCGGATTCTTGGCTCTGAAAATCCTCGGCTTCAAGTGAGCTTGTTTTGAAAACGTTTGACGTTCAGTGTAGCGCTCTAAAGAAGTTTCATTGACACATAAATTTTATCAAATATTTTTTACATCTCATTGACAATAGAGGTCTATTCGCATTGGATCATAAAAGCCGAGGTTTTTACATCAATTATTTGAGAACATAACATATGTTTAGTACGTCGACGAAAGTTACTACCAGTAAGTTACACAGACAAAAGTAGGGGGTGCTTCTTGAAACTTTTGTTAACTTCTGCGCCTAAGTCTATCCATTGCTTGAGCAACAACTTTATAGTGTAATATGTTAAATATTCGATACCTTGCCGAACCTTGCTATACCAATGCAATGTTATAAATACTATGAAAGTTCATCTGTGTTGGTATTAATCATAGTACAATGTTCACGTTCGGAAGTGACTGGTTAGTAATTCCTCTCTCTGTCTTCGTTGTGTTGGAATAAAGTTCAACATTGTACTATCTAGTAGGGCATTATCATTAGAACGACTTGTTACACCTAACAAAGGTTAGGTGTAACAAGTCGTTCGGTGTAATGTAGCTAGCTGCCGCCGCGCCGCGTGCCTACGAAGAAGGTGTGTTACGCCCAGGGGTGGTTATACCGGCTATACAGATACAGATTCACATACCTATAACTTATGTCCTTTGTGATCTAGAGAAGGCAGTATTATTGTGGAACATGAGGCCCTGTTTGACTACACCAGAGTGACGTCATCAGATGACCTGAGCTCCCGGCTCCGTGACGCAGTGGAGGGGGGCACACTCGACCCCAACATGACCTTCGACTCTCTCGTCATCTACGATGGTCAGGACACTCAATTATTCAATTAGCTGGCTCTTGACATATGGTAGTTGACAATAAAAGCAAAAAGACCAATCTGGATCAATTTCAACCAACTTTTTTGAAAATCGATCAGCTTCGCGGAAACCTATAGTAGAATATATCGTGACAGTACTAGTATGGGATCCATCTAAAAAGCGAGACTTTGGGAATGGTACAGAACCAAGCCGCAAAGAACAACTGCATGAACAACTAGAGTTCCACGATCTCATACCTTCGCCAAATGATGTAAGCCTTTATGAGTAAGAAATTATAGATTAATCCCCCTGATTGTGCAAATAGGATCCTATATTTGCATCAATTATATCTGTTGATCATATTCTACACCAGAAGACAGTCTTATCTTATCAAAGGATGCCATTATAGCATTTCCTCATAAATTATGCAAATGAGGTCCTTATTTGAATAAGTTATGTTTAATTATGTTCACCTTCACATAACTTTCAAATATTCCAAGTATGAAATTCCAGGCAGTTACCACTATGTAAATATAACATTTTCTCATTAATTATGCAAATTAAGTCTTCATTTGCATAATCGATATCTGCCTGTATTTCTGCCGTTCTTAATTACATATGTCACAAGCTTGAATAGTCCTATCATGGAATGCAGCTGATTTATAGAATTTCCTCATTAATTATGCAAATTACAATAATATATGCATAATTATAATATCATTATGTTAAGCATCACTTCAGCTACCTACATGCCAAAAATCACGACGATCCATCAATCGGTTCTAGAGTTATCCGCCTTTAAATATTTTTCAACTAACGCCCCTGCAGTTCCAGAGCAAGCCGCTAGGGAGGCCAAACTCACATCACTTCTTCCCCAGCACAAGAGCTACCTACCATCCAAATTTTGTCACCCTAGCATGTCTAGATCACGAGATATCAAAACCGGAAGTTCAGCTGCAGTACCATAACAAGCCGCTAGGGGGCCCAAAATTTAATCAGTTCCACGTCTCATGAAGACCTATCCACCTACCAAATATCAAGACAATCCATCTTAGCCTTCTTGAGTTATCGTGCTGACACACACACACACACACACACACACACACGAACGCCTACGAAAACATAACCTTCTTGGCGAAGGTAACTATGAAAGGAGTGCTAGAAAATAGAAGAAGTCCTGACTATGCATGATGTACATGTATAAAACGGCTAATAAACTAGTGGACGTACCAACTACTAAGTATCTAATACCGGATCAGAAAAGAACAAGAAATAGTCATGCCCACATGTACCAGAGTTATCAACCAAGTTTTTTTCCTAGAACTATCATATATAGAGTTAAGCTCGGTGCCTCCATGTACCATAGAGACCGATACAGAAACAGACAAAGCTACTCTAAATTCAAAGCTTAAATTGTTACAGTTTTCTTTGAATTTTCTATTCAGATGCGGATATTGACTTGTGCGACTACGCCCAGTGTGAGGACCACTCCCAGTGCGTAGCGCCCCCTGGCGAGAAAGTACCGCTCTGCAGGTGCCACACCGGTTACGGCAGTCTGGAGGGGTCGGTGTGCACGTCACGGTGTGAGCTGGAGCCGGGGTACTGTCACAACGACGGCAGGTGTGACGTGGAGCCGGAACTAGGAGTCATCTGCAGGTAAAAGGAACAGTTTTAGTCGTCAAGCTTTCTCTAGTCCTTTTTTCTGGGCCACTGAAAGACTTTGGCAAATCTACGCTTGAAGGTGGCTCTGGCCTTGGTACTGAAAGCGTCTTCTTTTAACGGAAATGATATTCTCATGAAGACACTATACTGGTACCATCTGTTCTCTTCTGCTGCATTTGAATTATGATGAAAAATGAACGATACAAAAAGTAAATTTTCTGGTAATTTCTTTACAAACTTAATTGAATCAATCCTACTTGTACTATACTCCATTGCAAATACAAGTGCCATTCAGGAAATAAAGTGCCAAGATATTACACCATACTAGTGTGTTTAAAAGCTGTCAGTCATGATCGTTTGCATTCTGGTAATTTGTGGTGGTACCACAAACGGAGTGCGCTTCTCGCAGGTTGTTTTAGCACTAACCATAAATGTCAGAAATGGGAAATGTGTTCGTTTGTTTGCGTGTCTGTTTGTTTCTTTCTTTCTTGAAAAGTAAATGACTATCACATGAACATTTTTTCCAATTGAAATATTTTTAAAATGTTTGGTGCAGAAATATTACATAATGCCCCTTTAAATTTCTTATCCATATGTACAGATGTCGAGCCGGCGCGTCCTGGTGGCACGTGGGGGAGCGGTGTGAAACCTACATGTCCTACTTCATGGTGTTCTCTATCGGGGGCGGGGCAGTGGGCGGAGTCTTCGTCATCATGCTGCTGTCAATCATCATCGTGGCCAAGAGGGTTCCGAACAAGACCCGGCCGTCCAACTACTTCCCAAGGTAGGTGTTAGTTATTAGACCCCATTCACACTCACGAAACGATCCGGATTGAGCGTCAATTACGATCAAAATTCATCAATCCGGATCGTTTTTGGAGTTGCATGCTAGATGCTCGTGTGAACGCTCCCATTTGGTTATACATGTACATGTATTGTATACGATCTTAATCAAAAGTAATCCACCTCGAGGCGGTACTAGTGGTTAAGATTTACCATGTGGCATGACAGTTGGAAAAACGTTAAACATGCAGTTTTCGTGTCTTTTTGCATCTTTTTGAGCCCACTGTCGTGCCAACGCGTCGATGTCCGTGCCTTTTTACAATTGTGTTTTGCCCATTGTCATTCCACCGGCAAATCTACCTGGGGATTATGTATCTAATTAAGATTAAGTGTTTAATTTAATCGTTATGAATTAAAGACCTTTAGACTTGTTCAACCTTCCCGTTCTAATCAGATAAGTACAGGTTAATGCCCTTCAATGCCCAAGCTCGAGGTACCAGGCCTATGTAGAAGTACATGCACAGGTGGTTAAAGTAACAAAACTCGCCATCCAATGCAATTTCTGGGTGGCAAAAAAAAAACGATTCTGGATGACGAAATTTTTCTGGTATTGTCATTTACTGCCATTTCTTACCGCATTTTTGCCTCACCGATATCAGTACACTATGGTAAACGGGTTGATTCATTTAACTACATTTCAACAAGAACATTTCAATTTACATTTCAATAGAAAATTGACTTTGAAAATCCATGGCAGTTTTACTGCCCTGAAACAGCTCTGGATGCCTGTGAAGTACAGCTAGATGATGTGCCAAATTAAATTTATAAAGCATATCTAGATAGAATATTGACGGATTGAAATTCGTTTCTCCAGTCACTACAGAAGGCCCTTCTTCATCGAGGCGAACGGTTCGACCGTGCTGAGCGGGCCGTCCACCTTCTCCGAGACCACGTGGAAGGAGAACCCGATGTTTATCGACGAGCAGGAGGAGGACATCTACAGCACCATCAGCCGGAAGGTCGGGCAGGAGATCTCCCGCGAGCTGAGGGAACTGGAGGCCACCGACATCGAGGATCCCTACGGCATCATAGGTGGGGACATGTAGCCTTAGTCTGGTATCCAGTCTTACGTGGTAGGGGCGGGTTTTCCTCGGGGCCGCATGAGCTCTTTCCCGCCCGCCCCAGATAGGTTTCCTGGTGTGTATTTCACGATAATCTGGTCTCCAACCCAAAAAGAGATTGATTCACCGGAATTTTAAGCCGAATATCTCCGTCTTCATCCATCTGAAGTGCTGAGAGCACGTGATTTTTTGTGACGTCTAATCTTCAATCAGACTTTTTGGCGCATGCAAAGAGAGAACCAGGCTTTATCCTTAGGCCAGACGGTACTGTTGTTCAGTGGCTAAATGGTAACTATCTGGCAAACGCACACCGCCTGGCCAATTTGATTCTGTCTTTGCAGCCGCCAAAAAGTCTGCTCGGACGTTATGTGAAGTCAGCACTGGGTCAAAGTTCGCTGGAAGTTGGTAACGCCCCCCGTCCCGATGCTGATGTCATATCTTTAAGCCCGAGGGATTCGGCCGAATATTTTTTTTTTTTTAGTTGGAGAACAGTTTGATTAGCAACTGGAACTTGTAGGTATCTACAGATAACGCTCGCGGAATTTCGACAAATGTGTTGTTCTTACTAATCTTAGGGATGTTTGCAAAAGCGGAGTCCGGGATCTCCACGGCTGGTACAAAACTGCCCCCTGGGGACTGGAATGGAGTGGTGCGCTTCAAACCGACGGTGGAGTGCATAGATCCGAACTGGAAGGTAAATTTTTAACCCCATGACAGTATATAAATGTCTCCATTTGAAATTCATTAACTGCATTATGTCACATTAGGGCGATAAAAACAGTCAATTTTCTTAACATGCATCAACCTTACTCCATTACATACGCCATTCAATTTTTTTTTCAATTAAAACATTTAAATTTTTGGTACAAAAATGTTACATAATACCCGCTTCATGCCACCTGTTGCGGTTTTATCTCTATACGCATGACTTTTCTATGGTATTTCATGTGTTCACTAAAACAATCTACTATGTATCTTATGAAAGACATTATCAAAGCTTGTTTGCTTTCTCATTCCACAGTTCAAGATCAAGCGGCCCCGCTATGCGTTCAACCCGGAGTACGATCAGCAGAGGGACGATTTGTCTTGGCCCTGACGATGCCGCCATCTAGCGGCCTGTAAATAAACTGCAACACCAACGATACTTAGTACTCAAATTACTAGATATCGGGAGGTATTTTGTCACGTCTCATAACGTACGAATGTATCTTTCAGAGCGAATATTAAGAATGTGTGAAAAAAACTCTTTCGACATCTGTTTTGATATTGTGACAACGATGCCCCATAAAGAAAAGAGTCGGGTGGATTCTCAAAAAACTGTCTTGCTCTTCCAGATGTCTTCTCGCTTTAAAATGTACACATTCAATATTGATATTAATGTATGAGTTTCTGTGTTGTGGATATTTTGTTTTCCGTAATGATTCTCTTACTTAAGTTCCATTTTGTACTTATCGCTAATGAGAATTTAGATTGTATATACATGTACAATTAAAGGTTTCTAAACTCAATTGATAACTCAACGATGTTATCAATTTTCGACAGGGGATAGCATGATAGGGGAGTTGGTCTGCTGGAGAAAACAGTTTGCCGCACCCCCCCG